GTCCCAATACGCGGTGGCTTTGGCCCCTACTTGAAAATCCCCGAGGTGCTCCAAGAGCAAGGTCCAAACGCCAAGCCTGGCCTCTGGAAGCCTTCCCTCTTTGGCCACACCCCCCTCCACGGCCTGGCCACACCCCCCTCCACGGCCGAGCCACTCCGAAATATCCTTCCGCACTCCCTCTGGCCAGTGAGCCCGGCAGCCTTTGCCACACGCGCATGCTCTATCCATCCATCGAGGTCCTGCTGGAGTACCACCTCCTCTGGGAAGCCTCCTACCTTCCCCCCAAAAAGAGAGCTGCTCTTCCTCGGGGCTCCCAAATCAACACTTGTGTGACCTTTACTAGAGTGTCTGTCCCACAAGCCCACCATAACTGTGGTTCGTGGGACCCTTTCTGCCTCTATGCAGCTCAGAGATAGGACCTCACCTCTACGTCTCCATATCCCCCGAGGCCCAACACAACGTCAGTGCCCAGTAAATGCATCACAAATAAATGCACCAGCCGGCGTCCTGCTCTCCGCTCCACTCCCTTCTGAGACAGGCAGCTACCATACGTGTTGCCTTCTCCCTGATCTGTAATCCACTCCGATCCAGGTTCAAGGTGAAGGGAATCCCTAGAGTCTTGTCCATACAGTGGTACCACCTAGGCTGGGTCTCAGTCGTGGCTCCACAACAGAGAGAAGGTGCTAGAAACAGGCCTGCTTCACCACTGGTGGGTGCCAAGCAGAGGACATGCAAAGGCCCACATGCCATATGTCATATTCGAAAGATAGAAATCAAGGTAACAAACTGATAAATAGAATATATTCTATCCTCCCACCTTGACAACCTTGGAAGGCCCACCTTGACCCCTTGGTTTCACAGTGGAATTCGGACATTCAGGGAGAACCGGGCCCAAATGGCAGCCTACCCCCTGGCACCATCACACACACTCAGAGGGGCTTCATGCACACCCATACAGATACCACAAACGTGAATTCCATCCGACTCCTCCAACCCCGTGCCCTGCACGCCTTGTCAGAACCTTAGGCCTACGGGTGCACACGCATCCATGGCCGAGGCAGTATGCCCTTCCTTGGGCAGATGGATCTAGGAGAGGCCCACACAGGACTTGGAAACAGTCTTGAGACCACCGGGGCAGGGAACTGAAGGGTCAGGACCCAAAGCACAGCCTGGAAGGAGGAGATGCAGGCTCTAGATGGGCCACCCTGTTGGCCCTACAGCTCTGCCACATGAGAAAGAGCACACCCGGAAGGAGGGCCAAAGCCCAGCCCTGTAGGCATGAGTCCTCTCTTGTGCACACCTAAGGGCAGTGAAGGGTACCACCACCCGCGTCTAGGTTATTTCGGAGCCATGGTCAGCACCAGCTGACCACCAAGCCAACTGGTGAGGGACCGGAACTTGGGACCGGAACTGCTTTCCAACCAGGTCTCAAAAAAACACCAGCAACAATAAACATCATGCACTTCCACACACTTACGGGCAGGCTATCGGTGACAAGGGCATGAGTCACCGTGTTTCTTCTTCAGGGGCCTGTCCATCCCCCGCTCCAGGAGCACTGATTCATCAAAGTTTGTTTTCAATACTATTATTTTTAGTCAGCCAAACAATTTTTTAAATGACAATAAAGTAGGGGTGGGGGAGGGCAGAACCACCCAAGAATATGAATTGTTTCTCTTCCAGTGGCTCGCCTAGCCCTCAACCAACAAGTGGCATGCTTAGGTGCCCTTGCTACGTGCTGGAGGTGGATTCTGTTACTATGTAAACTGAGGTTCTCCAAATGGTGAGCTCTGAGAGCAAGGGCGGGGGGTCCCCTGCTGGAATCAACTGACACTATCTGTCAAATATCCCCCTTGAAAGGGAAAGATGAGTGTTTACTGAGCACCTACTATGGGCCGTGAGCTGCAAATATGGGCCAAGGGCTTGATGTTTCATCTCATTTTGGTTGATTTACGGCGGTCCCATCCCCATTTTACAGACGGTCCCATCCCCATTTTACAGATAAGGAAACGGGTTCAGTACATTGAAGCAAATGTACCCAAGGTTGCCATAGAGCCAGCAACTGGCAGACTCAGACCCAGGCTCGTCAGACTCCAGTCCCCTTTGCTCTTTCTTCATTACCATGCTTTTCCTGTCCACCCACGCCCCCACCCCTGCTCCCCAGGTAATATTTTAAGAATCTGTTTGGTTAGAGATAAATGGCTATGTGCAAAATTTAAAGGGATAGCAGGAGAAACTAACTCACCCTGTCCTCCCATGCACACAGAGAAATAAGGCTCACCTTGAGTCTGAATTCAACACAGGTCAGAGACTTTTCAATGGGAAAGATTTGAAGCAAAAGGAAAAACCCAATTTCCATTGTCAGGGCCTGCTTTCAGCCACTTGTAACTACTCAGAAAGTCTTTTCTGGATCCATTACTCCACAGTTGGGCCTAGCCCAGAGGTGATTTTTTAAGGAAAAAATGTCTTTTGGCATTTTTGAGCTGTGACAGTGTAAAAACAGATCTTTAAAAAACACACACCCAAAAAGCATCACTATTTTCAAGAGTCCAGTCTAAAAGAAAAAAAAAAAAATGACACCTCAGAGCTACAACTTGGCTTGGCAATCGGTGATGCAACAAGGAACAGCAAAAGCGACCAGATTTATAGCTCTGGAGGTTTCAAAGGTATCTTAAACAGTACTCTCATCCTCAACTGTGAGCAAAGCAGTAGGAGAAAAAGTTGCCTGATGTCAGCATGGAGGGCCAGGGGATACAGAAAAAGTACTTTTTCGGGGGAAACTCACTTTTCATTCCCTAGCTGGGGTTTCAACTTGTAACCTCCATGCTGCCTAACAAAAGGCACAATGCTTTCAAAATCAAGTATAGCCTTTCTTTATATAGATGCTTGAAAATAAATAAAGGAGGCTTCCTGGGTAAACTCTGACATATGAGCAAACATTTTCCACAGGTATCCTTTATAATGCCTACCTCTTAACATTTCGCCATTTTTAGGCGTCTGTGGTCATTAGTGTAAGTAAACTTCCTGCTCTGAGAATGGCCAAAAATAGCAACAAAAGAAGAAAAATTGCTGCATCTTAAGACACACAGCCTTCATGTCTTTATCCTCGAATTCAGTCATTTTTATATTCCTTGGTAGTTAAATTTCAGGGATTTAGACTCACAGGGTTAAGGGAGAGGCAGGGAGCAGAGAAGGGCAACATAATCAAAATTGAGACTGGATTATAGTTTTATTACTTTCATTTGTATAAATTACCTGGCACGAGACTGACAGGCTCTCAGGATATTAATAATTAAGAAAGACCTGTGACATATTATTCAACGGAATGCATGCAAATGGGAGCTCCTGAAATGTTTGCATGAAAACCACGTTAGTGTTAGAAAGGCCCTCCAATAAGGCTTAGCTCACCTGTGAACTGAGAACATCTGAGGCCTAGAGATGTTAAGCAATTTGCCCCAGGTCACCCAGCCAATCCAAAACAGAGCTAAGTCTAGAACCTAACCCAGGTCTGCTGACTCCTGCCTCCAAAATGACCCCCCAAAGCCCTGTTTATAACGAATTTTTCTTTGACAGCATTTATGGGGAGAAAAGCCTGCTAAACAAACTTTAGCCTAGTCCAGAATTAGCCAAACTTCTTAATTAATAGGCTTCTACTGTGTTTTCATTTTCAACTGGGTCTGTCAAAACAGCAGTATGCCACCGCGGCAGGCTCCAGTTTACAGCAGGGGCCTCGGATAATCACCAGCGGATAGTGTGACTTGTACCACAGGTTTGTTATTTCTAAAACCGTTAATTAAATCAAAACAAAGAGTAATGTTACACACTCACGCACACACGTGCACACACACAAATTACCCTTGTCGGGAGTCAGTAAACTGTAGAGCTTGAGGGATTCGGCTCTCTAGCATCAAGAAAACAGCATTTACAAATTCACTAGGGAGAACACCTAGGGCGTTATTACAAATGCAAAGAACCCATGCTGGCAGCCGGCTGACTAGAAGCTACCAGAGGGTAGGAATGGTGCCTGTCTTCTTCACTATGTCACCCCTGCCACCTAGCACGGGGTTTGGCTCCAGGTAGGGACAATGCAGGAAAGCAGAAAAATGAACGGGACGAGTTCTCTGGGGATCTTTGTTCTGTAACTTGGCATAGAGGAAAATGAGAAACCAAATTTCAGCGGGGTGGGCTTCATATGGCCATTTCCAACTGTTTCCAGCAACCACTGTGCTTGAAGGTGGAGACATTGAAGGCTCCATGGCCAGGAACCTCTCAATGGTCACTGGATGAGTCCCCGCCCTCTCTGGGGGAGGAGTTGGTACCATCCAGCACAGCACAAGCCATTCCTGTCTGCACAAGCTGGGAAAACCTCCCAGGCCCAGGCTGCCTTCGGGAGCAACCTTCCTGGGTGCTTCTCCTCCCAGCCAACTAATACTATCAGATATGGATTTGGGGAAGGGGGTAGAGTTATTCTCTCTCTCTCTTTTTTAATAGTTCAATACCTCAATGCAGAGAAGAACAAAAGTTAATTAGGACTAATCATGAGCCTTGTTGATTGAGAAAGCTGCAACCCATTTCAGAGAACTTAACAGCACGCATAGGAGGCTGGGGGAGAAGTGGATAAAAAAGACGGGAGAAGGGCGCCTGGGTGGCTCAGATGGTTGGGCGTCTGCCTTCGGCTCGGGTCATGATCCCAGGGTCCTGGGATCGAGTCCCACATTGGGCTCCCGGCTCGGCGGGGAGCCTGCTTCTCCCTCTGACCCTCTCCCCTCTCATGCTGTTTCTCGCTCGCTCGCTCTCTAAAAAATAAATAAAATCTTTAAAAAAAAAAAAAAGACGGGGGAATAAGGTAGTGGGAATAAAGTCTGATTTCAATTTTTAAAGCCAGCGCTGCTTGGTCCTATTTCTTTCATAAAGGAGCTCACGCAGAACAATGGCTGTATTGTGCATTACGTGGCATTAAAATCCCCTAATAAATTAACAAGTGAAAATTAATGGTCGCTCAGTCCATTAAATCATGTTAATTTTATTTCCATTAAAATAATACAGCAATTACAAGTTTACATTATTAAACCAATATTTATTTTTCAAAAACTCATTTTAATTGGATTCTTGATGTGATAAGCTTGAGCCACATTCTCTCCATTTCATCAGCTTCTTGCATTTCTCATCAGAACTAAATGACTACCATACATATTGGCTGACTTTTTTCCATGATTAAAATGTTCATTGGAGACTTGACATCCTGGCGAAGATTTTTTAAAAATAGATCATTCAAAGCTCTTATGTCCACGCAGAAACTCAGGCTTACAGGATTTAGTTCAGCCAAGTGTTAACCAGAGACCCAGAAAGCTAGGTCACACCAAAATGCTGAAATTCTAAGTATCCACAATCATCAACAAGTTACCCCGTTTTTACTGACACTCTTTGTTATATTCTGAGCTAATATATCTAAAGTCACTGTTCCCACGGAGGAAACCTGAATTTCAAGTTTGCAATACTAAATTACTTTTTACTTCAAGGACAGAACGTTGTAAGCAGAGTAAATACCGCACACAGGTCACTGGCCCTTCCATGCAGGCCATGAAGTAACATTTTTACAACAGTACTCAGTTTAGCAAAAGACAGAAGAAGATAAAGACATCCTCATTCTTGTAGACTGGTATCACCACGTACCCAAAAGTTCACATGATCATGTTTGTAGTCCAGAAACTTCCTTTGGATAATAAATCCTTGCACTGACCCCTCCCTCCTCTCCCCACCCCCTCCCACAGAATTAAACGGTCTGTCCCCATATCCCTGGGCGCTTTGTCCATCCCTCGGCTGTAGCTCATTTCCTGTACCTTTGGCCAAGTCCGTCTCCCCCTCTGGACAGGGAGCTCCTTGAGAACCGGTGTCCTGCCTTGCTCATGGTACTAGATATTTAACAAATGAGTGAATAATTTAGTTATGAATGAGTGATAAACATAGAAGGCTAAAAACATAACACTTATATCTGTCAAACTCCCTGGTTTACAAAACATTTCCATAGGCCTTCTATCATCCTGATTTCGCAGGTGCAGACATGAAGGCTCTGAGACATTAACGGGAACTCCTAAATCCATCCAGATATGAAAATGGCAAGATCCAGGACTTGAATTCTGGGCTTTTTCTGGCGAAACCAGATGGCTGCCATTATTTTGTTTTCTAACAATGACTTCCACAATATTTAAAAGACACATTTTAGTCCCCACCCCCACCCTCAAATCACTCCATGCTAGAACTCATTTTTCTTCTGATGGGGTGCAGAATAAAAAAGAAATAGCAGTTAGACCCTCAAATAATGCCTTGTCAATGTTTCCCTTACTGAAATGGAAGCTCCTCACAGGCAGGAGCCATCTCAAATTTACCTTTGCATCCTCTCCCATTGCCCGGAATATTGACTCAGACCTGGGAGGAGGCCAAGAACTATCAATGAATCAACAAGATCCAACCCCGTAACCTCTGATCAGGAACTGTGAGCAAAGGGCTGTCTGCAACATGCATTGGCCTAAACATTTAACTCCTGGGCGCAAGCGGCAAGTTCCAAGGTTCCAAATGTCAAGGGAACATCAAGTGGCTCTTAGGTTCAGCCGGAGCTCGGAGCCAGCCCCCGGTCAGCTACCGGGGTCTGCGGGGTCCCTCCTCTTCCCAGCTCCCTGTGTGAAACTCCCTTAATCAAGGTTAACCAGAGAAAGGAGTGGATGGACCACCTCCCCGGCAGCCAGAAGTGGACTTACTTTCCATGGGCTACACCAGAATGGTGCTCTGAGCCGCAGCGAGAGAGGTGGGTGGACAGGAGATAGGGAGGTCAAGAGGGTATTAAAAAGAAGCCACTCCTGCAGCCCTCGTAATAGGTCTGCCCCCAGACGTCTGAGAAAGGAGCCTTCAAGATGACGATCTTTTTCCTTTCTCCCGAGGGTGAGAGTAGACTGGTGAAGTCCAGGTGGCTAACAGCAGGAGGCCACGGTCAAAGAACAGATTCACAAAGGAAGAGGAGATGGAATGTGTCAGACCTGGCGTCTGGTTCAATTCCCCGTTTTCCTCTGGACGTTGACACAAGAAAGCTCGAATTCCCTTCCAAACCAACCAGACTGGAAGCTTGGTCCAGCTCCCAACAACCGGGCCAAGGCATGGAGCCCGTCACTGGAAGCGCAGGTTACCAGTGTCCTTCAGAGCAGTCATTCTTAAGTGTGCCTGGCCCCTGATTACTGACCTAGCATGCGCACACCTTCTCTTCCTCTCCACAGTAAATGCTGGGGCTCCATGCTTACCAACTGGCAGGGAAGATGCTCGCTGCTTTACTTAGATACTCAGGCAGGTGACACGTAAGATGCTGTTATACAACGTGTCTAAGTTCTGCCCAGACTGCCAGACCTCAGAGTATCCTGATAGCCTCTCTGCTGGTGTATCTAAATCAAGCTCTTACCACTTCCTTGGCACAGGTCTCTTTCACATTCTTGGTATCGGTAAGCCTGTAACGCTCCAGCTCTCCTGATCACTGAGACAGGTTAGAGCCGGCGTAACACCCACAAGCATGCAGTCTGGAAGACCCTAGGATACGGCTGTCCTTGCCAAAGGTTGCTGTTGCTGATCACAATTACGTACTAGCCAAAGCACGCTTGTCACATCTCCCCAGACTGAGGTCTCCTGAAACCCCAGGGTAGTTTTAACCACTCCGTGCCCCATCCCCCACACACCATGGGATAACTAGGTTAAACATCCCTTGGTTAACTTTCCAAAGCCCTCGTTATACAAGGTAGTGTAGAGAGAGCAGACAATTGGACAAACACCACCACACTCTTTGGGGCTTAGCAGACACTGATAGCACTAACATGGAGGCCAGCTAGACACCTCCCCAAGACGTGGCCTTTAGTTTCCTGCCCACGACCAAAACAGTGGCAGCCGTTGCCAAGGGAGACAAGGTGACCCAGAGGCGTGGGCACAAAATCCAGGGATGGAAATCCATTTTGTCTGGATCCATCCAAGCAACTGGGCTTCCCTGAGAAAAGGTTGAAAACAAAATCTACCTTCGTATTCGGCCCTTGCCAAGGCAGGTGGAAGATGCCCCATTCCTATCAGAGTCATGGGAAGGCCAGACGCAAGTTAGCTTGAACTCTCAGAAATGTCCAAAGCATTCCTATGCCTCAAGCTGTGGAGGACTTTGGAAGAGGAAAAGGCAGGCCCCAGCTAAGTTTCCCTAGAGGGCAAACCCCTACCAAGGCAAGAGAAAGCAAGGGCTCTCCTCCAAGCAGTCACCAACCCAAAGACAGAACATCAGCAACCTTACCAACAAAGATCCACGGCTGCCCCCATCCCAAGCTAACTGTGCTCTAGCATTCAGCAAAGAATGCATTCAAAACTTTCGAAGTAGAGAGCAGTGCACAGTACAAAAAGGAGCACAAGTGGTGGAGTCCCAAGTCCACCAGGCCAAACCTTTTCACTTCCCTCCTCCAGTTTTCTCAACTTTAAAAAGGAGATAAATCTGCAGTCTGACAGCCTTATCTATTTTCCAGGAGTTTCTTTCTTTCTTGATCGCATTAAAACCATGTGAAAGTGCTCTGTAAACTATAAAACACTTGATGCAGCTGCTCATTTTGTAACTGATGCCTTTCTTTCTTTTTTTTTTTTTTTCTGTTTCAAAGCACAAAGCACTTGTCCTCAATGCACCCAGACAGGTAAGACGGCACGTTTTGTACACCCCTCCCCAGATGGGAGAAGTATGACACTCATTCACCCTACCCCTGCCCCCCCAACAACCAAAGGAATAAAGAAGAATTCAGAACCAGAGCTGGGCCCAGAATCCAAGGCTCACGACCCCATCACATCATACCACCTCCTCTGAAGTCAATTCTGGCTCCTGATCACACGCCCAGAGCGCACTTCCCAGACGACACACCACCTTCCCTCCCCTTTATTGACTGGATCCACCCAGTTAAAAAAAATATATTACTTTTTTAAGTCAGCACTCCCACCATATGTGGCATTTATTTCCAGAGGAGGCCTGTTCTGGGTTCCTGTGGACAGATGTTGCTTTGTGCCTGCCTCACAGGGCTGGTAGGCCGTGTACGGCTGCCCCAAGCAGGTGGCCAAGGATGCAGTCCACTCCTGGCCGGGCAGCAAAACCGACATTCTCTCTGGGGCTCAGGCCGTGCAGACCCTCTCTCTACTCATTCCTCTGCAGCCTGGGACCCCCAAGGACATCCCACCCCTGTGTGCACACATACTCCCTTTGGTGCAGAGTCAGACTTTAAAGGGGGCCCAGAGGGAGAGATGGGAGGCTAAGATGTACCCCC